GTGCTGATTTTGCCAACTTTCTATATTTAGGCTCTGAGCAAGAGAGAGCAAGCGAGCACGAGCAGAGGGAGGGAGAGGGAGAAGCAGGCTCCCCACTGAGCAGGGAGCCCCGACGCGGGGCTCCATCCCAGGACCCTGAGATCATGACCTGAGCTGAGGGCGAACACTTAACCAACTGAGCCACCCAGGCGCCCCTAAATAAGTAAAATTAAAAAAAAAAGGTTAAGTTCAATTTCTTATTTCCTTGCCCTCCCCCTCTCTGCATCCCTGCCCCTCGCCCTGAACATCCCCTCCCTGAAGCCCACAGCAGCTATCAGCTTCTCTTGCTGCTTTCTGTGCAGGGGAAGCTTTTGTTTCTTTCCTTAGCATAGCTCTCCGGCAGCCTGGCTTATTCCTGCCTCTCCCTGAAGCCTGGCACAGGCCAGGAGGAGGTTTGATTGCCTGTTGCCCTTGAGCCAGCATCTCTCCGCAGGATGCTCTCAGGGTCTCTGCTCCTCAGGCAGCGGGGCTCCCACCCCAGCGAGCCCTGAGGCGGCACCACGAGTGACCTTCTCTGGGGCTAAGCTGGGCTGGGGACGGGGCCCTTCGCTGCAGCCCTGGGCCAGCCCCTCCGCCCTCCCTAGAGGCAGAGTCTGGGATGTACCAGATGACCCAGGCCCTCGGGAGGCTGAGCCTGGAGGTGGGCAGCCTCCCAGACTAGCTAGGAAAGCACAGGCAAACTGCTCCTGTCTTTTTCCTTTGTGCTCAGCAGTTCAGCATCTAGTGACCCAACCCAATGCTGTCCTCTGCCTCAGCCGTCCTTCAGTGTCCAGTTCGGGGCCAGGCAGTGGTTCTCGAATTTTAGCTCCTTAGGGGTTCAACCAAAGTTGGTTCTCAGTTTGCCAGGAACTGGTCAGGCTGCCACAGTCCCCGTGTGAGCATGAGCCTGGGGCACACTTGGTCTGCAGATCTGGCTTCTGCCCTCTGCAGACGCTCTTGCAGGTGACCACTCCCCTGTCGCAGGCATCAGGTAGGACCCGGCACCCCACTCCCTCTGACTGGAACCCGCGTGATCAGTGCTTCTCCCCCACCTTCTTTCTTACCGGCAGACATTGCTTTCTCCCCCCTCTCCTGGGGGACGTGGCTCAGGTGCACCTCCCCTGTCCCAGGAATGCTCAGCGGACTGACCTGCTCACCGCAGGCCCCTCTTCCCCACCCTACTGTCATGACGTTCATCGTACCACATCCTGTTTTGCGGGTTGCTCGGCATAACCTGCTAATTGATCTCCTTCAACCTAGGGCTCAAGGTGGTGGCCTGCGCGCCGGGCGGAGTCCAGTGTCTGCCCAGTGTGCCTGCCGGTTCCCCACCGGTACGCACCCCTGCCTCTTGTTACTGCACAGCTCCCATCATCAGCCTCGGCCACCCGGCCCCGCGAGCCTGCAGGTCCTGCCTTTATACCGGCAGAGACCGCATCTCTGTCCGTCCGTGATTACGGCATGTCCACGGCACAGAGCATGCCAGAAAGCAGGAACCCAGTTAATGCACGTTGTCGAGGGAACAAATATATTGAATGAAAAAAATACACAACAATTTATTTGATGTGTGCAAAAAGTAACATTGTAGGTGCACAGACTATCTGGAGGGATTCATGTACACGGGGTAATCGCGGATGCCTCCGAGAAGGGAACTGGTGGTTGGGCAATGGGGTAGAATTAGGGTACACCTTGTTCCTTTGGAATTTAATTCACACGTTACAAAATTGGAATTTCCTTAATAGACAGTTATATAATTTAAAAGATTAAGTCATGAGGCACCTGGCTGCCTCAGTCAGTAGAATGTGACTCCTGATCTTGGGGTTATGAGTTTGAGCCCCACGTTGGGTGTAGAGTTTACAAAAAATAAAAATAAATAATACATTAAAAGATCAAGTCTTGTCATTTGAGGCCTCTCTTGCTGTGTCCCCCCCGCCCCCGCCCAGCACCTGAGCCCCCTGATTCTGATGCGGTCTCTCCTCCTATCCCAGCAGTGCCTGGTTCGAGATGGGGTCCCAGGTGTCCGTGGACGTGGGAGCTGTGCGCGTGGTGATCGTGGGTGGGGGCTTTGGTGGGATAGCTGCTGCCAGCCAGCTGCAGGCTCTGAACATCCCCTTCATGCTGGTGGACATGAAGGACTGCTTCCATCACAATGTGGCAGCCCTCCGGGCCTCCGTGGAAAGTGGTAATGGACTCTCTTCTGGGGCTTTCTTTGTGAGAGTGGTCTTGTCACCACTGTGGGTGTGGGGGTGGTTTTTGCCACTTAGGGCGAGGCCTAAATTCCACCTTTAGAGAAATTCTGGAGATTCTTTAGGTCACTGGCCTTAAGCAGCTACCGTATCAAGGCTGTAGAAGTAAGAGCTGGAGCTTCCGGGGACCTGGTGAGGCCCAGGCGGGCGCTGTCGGGGGCGGTGGTATGTCCACAATGCCACTGGCTCAGCTCTTCGGCCAAGGTTACCCCTCAGGAAAGGTTTTGAGTTATTCTGGCCTCCCGCAGGCAGCCCAGTTTTACTCTCTGACCTCCTCTGCACCCATTCCCCAGGGTTTGCCAAAAAGACATTCATTTCCTACTCCGTGACCTTCAAGGAAAACTTCCGGCAGGGGCTGGTCATAGAGATAGACCTGCAGAATCAGACGGTGCTGCTCGAGGATGGTGAGGTGAGCATGGTGGGGGCTGACCTGATCCTCAGCTGGCTTCACGAGGCCCCAGGGGGCCGCAGCTGCCGGTGGGATGAGACCTGGATGTTCTCAAGGGTGGAGAGTCATCAATAGCCCCCACACGGTGCTGGCCGGATAGCAGATTCCTCATAAGCAAAGGCCTGGCCCTAGCAGACTTCTCCTGAGCCTTTCCTATACGCCAGGCACTGTCTTAGCCTTACTTAGTTTCTTTCTTTC